GGGGGGGGGGGTTATGGTGACTCACCATAACTGGAGTGTTTCCGAAGTTACTCACTCAAAATAAACGAATTTGTTTGGGAGAGTTATAAACTCATTATCCACAACAATCACGTTGAGAAAGTCGCTGTCTTTTAACTACGTCATAACCCAAAAATATCAGAGCACTACAGGATTAAGTTACTCACTGAACCTACTTGGGTCAATGATGCTTTGTAACCATGAACTGAACCCTAACTTGGCCCGTACGTTCTCTTATGGACCTTCTCTTGACAACCGAACAACCCTGGATTCGAACACATGCCCAAGTACTACGGGGGAAATGAAGGTCTTTTCAAGGCGCTGGCCGCTGTCACGTTCCAAGTGCTCTAATAGAATCCCGGGAAAGCCAGTTACGCAAAGTTTCAGGCTGTCACGGTGCTCTGGTGAAGAGTTCTAGTCTGCTTATTCGGAAGGGGACTCCGCGTGCTCACCAACCCCGCTCCGGCCTCTCGCCGGACTGGGCGAGTAGGGGTCCAGCTACCCAGCTGACCTCTGGCCGAGGGTCAGGAACCTAGCCTCAGTGCAGTACCTACCTGTTTTCTATTTCCACTGGATCCGCGTCCGGCGGCTGCACCTTCACCTTCACCTCGGCCATGAGGGCGGTTTCGAGACGAGATGAAAAGTGGCCCCAAGGAGCGCGCTCGGAGTCTCGGTGGCCGGCGGGGAACCTCGCCGAGCGGGGGAGGGACCTTCTTCGTGCGGTCGCGCCGGGCCTTCTTCATCGCGTCGGCTCAGGGTGTCCGTGCTGTGCCTGCTCCGCCTTGCTAAGTAGTGTCGCCACAGCGACTCCTTTCTGCTGTCCCAAATTTCAGTGCGTGTCAGACGAGAGGCTCTGGCTCGCGTACGCAGAGTAGGGCGCACGCTTCAGAAGCCCTTCCAGCCGCCGAGAAGGCATATTCTTGGACACCTACAACACTGCGTCTTGGAATCTGCTGCAGGCGGGTACCAGACGGGCTCCGCGGCCAGAGACAAGGGCGGGGCTGGTTGCTAGGAAGTCGATTTCCCTGCCAATCATCTGCTCGGCTCCCGGTGGGCGGGGCGCGGGCTGCAGCGTCTGTGGTAACGCAAGCTGCAGCCGCAGCCATCGTGAGACGGTGAAGAGAGCAGACACCCGCTTGGCGGCGGCGAAGGTGCGTTGGGGGTCCTTACTTCTGCCTCTGAGGCTGGGGGAGGGTGAGGGGAAGGGTCTCTCTCCCTTGGATGGCAGGGATCCAGGCATCTCTGACTGCCTGGCGAGGCGAGGACCATGGCGCGGATCCTGTCTGGGCCGCGAAGAGACGGTCCAGGTGAAGGATGTTGGGCGGCGCTAGTGGCATGACATTGACAGCAGGCTGCAGTATGGACCTAGCGAATCAGCCTTCTCTATTTCTTCGCGTGAGGTCCATTGACCAGCCCAGCCTTCCAAGGGCAGCTAATAGCTAACCGTGAGCAAATCAATCTCTATCCAATTATGTTTATTTAGAATGATGTTTTCAGATATCTTTATTTTAACTGAGTCTCGCTACAAAGGAAATATAAAGATAGACAAATCCCTCTACGTCATTTTTGAAGAGTCAGGTACCTGTTGGTTTTATTCTTGGCCTTCAATCTGGAACAAAAAAAGGCATTAAATTCACCTTTTAATTTAATTATCCCACTTTCCAAAACAAGATACATCAAAACGCAAAGATATTCAGAGCAACATTTTCAGAATTCCAACTGCCAAGCTTAAAAAAACAAAGCAGTAGCCTCACCATCGAATGACAAATTTTTACATGAAAAATTGTAAATGAAAATGACGATGCTGGAGAGGAGGGAGGGAGGGTGGGATTGGGAGGGAATGAGGGAGCGGGATACAGCTGGGATACAGAGTTAATAAAATGTAACTAATAAGAAAAAAATAAAAATTAAAAAAAAAAAAGAAGAAAATGAGGATGCAAGGCCGAGCAGTGGTGACGCATGCCTTTAATCTCAGCGTTTGGATCTCTGTGAGTTCGAGGCCAGGCTGGTTTACAGCGCGAGCTGCAGGACAGCCAGGGCTATTACACAGAGAAACCCTGTCTCGGGGGGAAAAAATGTTGATTATAAAAGTAGAATGAGGGGAGGGAGGATAGGGTGAAGAGCGTGGGAGGGAGGGAAGGACTGGGAGGAGAAGAGGGAGGGGGCTATGATCGGGATGTGAAGTAAATATATAAATTAAAATAAAAATTTTAAAGTAGGATGAAAATGTATGTTATAATTGAATAATTATGTAGCCATAGTCATTGAAGCAGCAATGCAAGGTGCAAATACTGTGCTAACAGGACTCTTCCCCCCACCTCAAAGAAAAGACCCATAAATTCTCAGTCCTGCTAGTTATTTACAAAACAGTAGAGCAAATAGGAAACCGTGTTTGTTGATTTATATTCATGTCAACTTCCTTCTATTGAGAACTGATGTTCTGCAGTCTTTGCAGTATATTTTCAGATATACAATATACTGTAATCACAAAGGTAAGACTGTGGGACTTAGGACTTCCTTTGAAAATTGGCTCCAAATAATTTATGCTACATGCAAAGTTACTAGTTCCCTTTACATAATGAGTTGCCTTGAAGTCAGGAGAGTGAGTGAGTATGTATGTGAGCACTAGCTGAAGTAGTAAAGAGTGATGATCTTAAGCTTAGAAGATAGTGCTGGATTCTCTTCTGCCTCATTCAATTAACCTTCCCTTTTAAAGCAGCTCCAGTCTCTTATCAGATTCATCTATTTGTCTTTATTAGATGTCATAGGTGAATATCCAACACCAGACCTCAACAGCAAACATATGGCTGAAGTGTAATAATTTCATTCATTAACAGGGCATTATCTATAGGTGGTATATTAATGATAATATCTTTAGGCTTTACTGGCTTGCTACATTTAAAACAAGTGGTACTCTCTAGTTTTTGTGTTCAAACATAGGTTCATATGGAATTTTTATCTAATTTTTTTGATCTAAGGAGAAAACATGACTGCTGGTTCAGTGTGTGCCCCTCAGATCATACCGCTGCGCGTGCCTCAGCCCGGAAAAGCTAACCATGAAATCGATACCAATACTCTTTTGGAAATGAAATCTGGTAGGAAGCATATGTATTTTGAATTATTTAAAATAACATTGTCATACTCTGTGTTCATGTGTTGCTGATTGAAATCTTTGCCATGTTTTCTATATTGAGGCTATAGAAGTTTGTAATTCTTACACAAAATGAAAAGTGTTGTTCTTTGATAGTTTGTAGAGAGGTATGTATGTGTTTGTTTTTGTGAGAGAAGATACTACTATGTAGCTGAGATCAGCCTTGAACTCAATGTATAGCCCAGCTTGACTTGAATTTGCAGCAGCCCTCCTGTCTCAGCCTCCCACATGCTGAGATTATACCAGTTTGATTAGCATATATTTAAATAAAAATGAGCAGGTTGCTATTTGCAACACCTTCTTGTCTCACCTGAGTCAAGGTAAGATACCCAGTTGTGTCTCCAACTTTTCTCAGGGTGCTTAGTACTTTTCTAGGATAATAAATTTGACCTACAAATATAGATTTGTAGGTAGAGATTTAATTTCAGTTTGACAAACTTGATGACCTTGGGCACAATTTTCTTTTCTTTTGTTTTTTTGGGACAGAGTTTCTCTTTGTAATAGCCCTGACTGATCTGGACTCACTAGTGGACCAGGCTGGTCTTAAACTCACAGAGATCCGCCTGTGAGTTCTCTGCCTCCCGAGTGCTGGGATTACAGACATGGAGCACCCTGCCTGCATCCTTAGTTTTTCTGAGTGCCATTGTCTTCATGATAAGATGGGAGTAATCATACCTACCACCGGGAGCCTCAGGAGGATTAATAAGTTGCTGTATACTGCTATATACCCACCGCCATATTAAGTTGGTTACGGGAGGCACGCGTGATTTCACTCATAATAAAATACATTTTAACTATTACAAAAACAAAGTAGTAGATAGCATTTAATATTAAATCTGATTATGTATATATGCATATAATCAATGTAAAGAAATTTTATTGATAAGACATGTAAACAAATATTTGTATTAGAAGGCTTTTAGATTATATGCATGAATATATTTAGACATATTTTGAGGGGAGGGAAGGGAAGGAAGGATGAAAGAAGAAAGTTTAATAGCAGAGAGCTTGTGAATATGACCAGGGCCCTGGGTTTCAATCCCCATTGCTGCAAAACTTACAAATAAAAAACAAACGAAAGAAAGAAAATACTAATGTTTTCCTATATGTATAAAATCTAGACTTTTTTCTTTAAAGACTTGAAAGTTCAGGTGGAATGCTTCGGAGAAGGATGGGGAGTGGTGGAGTCAGGGAGGGAAGACAGGAAAGGATAGTAGAAGGGATGAATAAATGTGAAAGTGCCATAATGAAACATTTTTATAGGTAATGAAATACAAAGGTCATTTCCATAAATGAAAATAAGCTTCTAGCACCCCATTATTTGCTCACTGGGAAGAACTTTTCTCTTGTCTGATGAAGCAGATTTGATTGTTTACTATTTGTGTGTCCTCAACATACGCTCTATGAAGAAAAAATATGTGGGGTAAGACATAGAATTGCTATACAAAGAGAAGGGAAAATAAAATATAAAAAGTATGTTTGCACAGATAGGAAATTTTTTCAAAGATACCTGATATGCCATGGCTGTCTAGTATGAAGGCCACCCCATTTTACAATCACTTTTAACCTTTTGAATTTTGAATTACATCTGCTCATTATAGTTAAATGTTTCTAAGAAGTACAGGAATCATTTACTGAGACTGAATAAAATATTTCATAAGAAATGCTTCAAGGGGCTGGAGAGATGACTCAGAGATTAAGAGTACTGGCTGTTCTTCCAAAGGTCCTGAGTTCAATTCCCATAACCTACATGGTGGCTCACAACCATCTTTAATAAGATCTAGTGCCTCCTTCTGGTGTGCAGGCACACAGGCAGGCAGAACACTGTATGAATACTAAATAAAAATCTAAGAAAGAAAGAGAAAGAAAAATTCTTCAAAAAGGTGGTTTTGCTGTCCATGTGGCTTGTCCTGTCTCAAGACTGACCTTTGTTCTCCGCATACTATACCTGCGGAAGAGATGAAGAGCGCAGGGGTCAGGGTTGCAGGCTGTGTCCTCAGCCCAGCAGAAGTTACACCACGTGTTGTAAGCATATAAGTCAACGAATTTGGTGCATACTAAGATGTTCAGAGCCATTTCAACTGGAAGGTCATTAGTTACTTTACTTTCCTAAATCTTCTTTCTTCTACTCCCATTTTCTTTCTTAAGAGTATTTTTTACTTTCTATGTATGGGTATTTTGTTTACGTGCATGCTGTGTATTGCATGCACGCCTGCCTGGTACCTACTGAGGCCAGAAGAAGGTGTTGGATCCCTTGCTACTGGAGTTACAGACTGCTGTTAGCAACTATGGGAGTGCTGGGAATTCTTTGTTATTTATCAAGTTCATTAATCTCTCAGGTACTCAATTGCCATCTATAAAATGGGTACAAATTAGGACCCATTAGTAATAGAAATGAATACATGACGTAAACTCTTTCATGCAAAGTACTATGTTAGCACAGACAACAGAATCATTACTCACTTACTGTGTGTGTATGTTCTTTTTAACAGACTATAGGTATTCAGGGACTTGTTATTCAGTGTTAATTATGGTTATCCTGTTCTGGATTTTTCAGATACCCCAGATGTCAACATATATTACACCCTGGATGGCAGCAAACCTGATTTCCTAAAGAAAATTGGTTCTGGTGAAAATAATACATTTAAGTACATAAAACCAATTACTCTGCCTGATGGAAAAATACAAGTTAAAGCTGTTGCTGTCTCTAAGTAAGTTAAGAACATGGCAGGCAAACAAGCATCGTATATTCACACTAATTTTTATATATATTATTTGTTTTGTTTTGTTTTGCTTTGTTTTTTTTGAGACAGCTGTTTTGGAATTCTTTCTGTAGACCAGGCTGGCCTGAACTCAGAGATCCACCTGCCTCTGTCTACTGAGTGTTTGGATTAAAGATATGTGCCACCATTTCCACCTACATTTTGTTCATTTGTACATTTTATTCATTTCTTATTGAGAGAATAAAAGGCATTAATGAAAATTTATGCTAATTTTAGCATATATATTATTTGCAATTTATTGAGGCATAAAGTTCACAAATCATAAGTACATAGCTCAATAAATATTGAATACATTAATAATATTTTATTTCAAATTCCACACTGGAATTCTGGGGGAAAAGAGCTTTCTGAAGAGCTTCTGTTAGCACTGAGGAAAGTGTTGTTTAGTTGACGGTTCTTTTATTCTCTGGATTATGACATCATTGTTTCACTTTGTATTGACTTAACTGATGTTCAGAGCTCATTTTAACTTGTTCAAAGTTCCATTTCAACTTGAAGATCATTAGCCACTTTTTCCTAAATCACTTTTTCTCTTAAAAATGTTTGTTTATTTATTTGTTTGGTTGGTTTGTTTTTGTTTTCTTGGGACAGGGTTTCTTTGTGTAGCCTTGGCTGTCCTGGACGTATTTTGTAGACCAGGCTGGCCTTTAACTCACAGAGATCTGCGTGCTTGTGCCTCCCCGAGTGCTAGGATTACAGGCCATGCCAGGCTGTTTGATTATTTTCTTACATTTTTTTTTTTACATTTACTTATTTATTCTCTGTTTATGTGTGTATGAGAGAGAGACAGAGACAGAGAATTTCTTATCAGAGTATGGAAAGAACACAGCGGGACAAGAAGGGGAAAGCACTTGGGGTCATGCCAGGAAGGGGAGGGTTTTGTCAAAGGCTGACGGCCCACACTGATGATCTAATTCAGTGTCCACTCCTCCTGATTCTTTAAAAGCCTTCTTGTGGTCAGCAGTGTCCTGTCTCACCAACATGTTTTGTCGTGTGTTGGCATGGCTGTGCAGAGTTTCCCTTCTCTACCACTGACCCTACCTAAGGGTCACAATATATTAAGCTAAGCAGGAACAAAAACTGTCTGGAACTATGGATGATGTTTTGTGAGAAAGTAGTGAACAAGCATTTGCTCACCCCAGACGGGGAACAAAACAGTCCAAAGTAAAGCTACTACCAAAGCCCAACTTGATGAAACAGTAGGACCTCTTGGGTTACTCATTAAGAATGCGGGGGAGGTGGGACTACTTATAGGAACAGAAATGACTCAAAGACAGGTTCAGTCCCAAGAGCCCACCCCAGTGTGCCACTCAAGTTGGATCCCTGCAACCCACTTCACAACCAGTTTGCAGGCAGCTTGAGATGTCAGTCAGAAAGTGTCTCTTCTGGGCAGCTCCGCTGGCCTTTGCCTCTTCCAGGTGGTTTAGCTGGTTTAGGCAGCTCTGCTTATAGCTCAGCAGTCCCTACTGGGTATGTAAGCTTAGGGAAGAGGGGGCCTAGTCAGTCTAGTCCATCTGAGGGACTTCTGAAGTTACTGAGTTGTTTACCTCCTGAGTTTTATAGCTGCCCAGAGCAGAATGGAGTGTCTCCCCTCCTTTAGAACATCCCAAGTCTCAACAAGCTCCCCTCCAAGACAGACTGTTTCTCTCGGAAGAGCTTGCTACACAATTCCATTGTAAGCAAGTGAATAATTTGGGGACCTCAAATTCCTCTGGGAATAATTATTTTCTTAAGTAGACTAATGAAGGACCCCCAAGTTTTACAACCAGGGCTGATAAAACAAACGTAAGTAGGCTACCAGCATATCTCATAGGCCCCCATCTATAGCTTCTTAAAATACACACACACACACACACACACACACACACACACACACACACACCTTAAAATATCACCTTCCTAGCTGGAGACCATGATTGGAGCTTGTAGTATAGAGACCCTGTTCAGGAGGTAACCAGTGGAGAGATCGGAATGCCATGTCTACAGGCAGCAAAGGCAGGGGAAAGTCTGAGAGAAGTTACTGAGCCTGAAGGAGAGCACAGGACTTGGAAACTGCAGCAGGCACTTTTGTGTTCCTATGAGCAGAAATTGGAGAACAATTGAAAAGGGAAGACTTCTTTTGCCTCACGTTTTATGGGTATTAACCCATCCAGGTGGGAAGGGAGTAGTAGAAGACAGACAGTCATATTATGGCCACTGGGAGGCAAAGAAAAAGAGTAGAGGATTACAGGAAGGGGTCAGAGCAAGATGTATCCTATTTTTCCTAGTGACCTGCTTCCTCCAGAGGCACCTCCTGCCTTTCACTATTTCCCAGTAATGCCGATTAAGTCAAGACACAGAATACAGACATCCCCGGAGTGCGCTGTACTAATCCTTTAGGCCTCTGAAGATCCAGTTAAGTTGACAAGATTATCACCACTGAGATTTGAAGATTTTAATCCTACTTAGTCATTTAGTCAGTGTGACCTTAATTGGATGGCTTTCGTTTTCTTTATGTGATAGTCCTCATTTCTGAGGTTGCTAGAATTTCAGAAATGACTGAATTCAAGAGTTTGTTTTCTGGGTGAATAAAATGTGAGTAATTCTTTTATGTTCCTAAATTCAAGGTTCTCTGGGCATAATTTTTCTCCCATGAAACATTTGGTAATGTCAGAAAACATTTTTAGGAGCCTGGGAAGATGGCTCAGTTTAGGTGAAATGCCAGCTGTATAAGCATGAGGACCTGAGTTTGAATCCTTGGTACCAACTTAAAAGCTAGACAAGTGCCTGTAATGCCAGCTTTAAGTAGCAGTGGACACAACCAGGTCCCTAGAGTTCACTGGTCAAGACAGCATAGCTGAAAAGGTGAACCCTGGGTTCAGTGAGAGACTCCTCTAAAAAAAATAAAGTGGAGGCCAAGATTAGTGGCTCACACCTTTAATCCCAGCAGCTGTGAGGCAAAGGTAGGTGGATCTCTAAGTTTGGGACCAATTTGCTCTACACAATGAGTTCCAGGATAGCCAGGGCTCCATAGAGAAACCCTGTCTCAAAAAAACTAAAATAAATAAAAATAAATAAATAAATTGGAGATGTGGGGAGGGTGGCTCAATGGATAAAGATGTGTGTAGTACAAGTGTTTGGTCGCATTTGCTCTCCAGAATGCATGTCAAAAGCTGCACATGATATCACACTGTAAGCCCACAGTGAGATGGAAGGCAGAGAGGATGAAGTGGCCAGAAGCTTGCAGCCCAAGGAGGCCGTGGTACATAGCTCATAAATAGCAGAAACCACCCTCCCTCAGGACAAGGCGGAAGGAGAGAAACAACTTCTGAAAGTTGTCCTCTGACCTCTTCGTGCATGTGTGGCCCATTGTCTCCCCACCCCCCGTGATGTATGCATTTATACACACACAAGTAACTAAAATAAACAAAATGGAGAGTGATAAAAGATACCTCACCCCCGTCTGCAGCTTCCACACACACGTGCACCCATACACACATACACACACATACATGTACACACCCCACATAAACATGTACATATACCACATGAGTACACATGCAAAGCAACATTGTGGTTGCCACTAGGAGTATTACTTGCTCCTAGCCTCCAGTGTATAATGGGTCAAGTTGCACCTGATCGTTTTTATAATGCAGAGGACAGCTTCTATGAAAAAGAATTATCTAGCTTCAAATTTTAATAGTTTTCAATAGGCTGAGAAAACTCAACCCAAACCAAATTGTGAATTCTCATTGACACAGCTTTGTAATTTCCCTGTAGTCATTCAGAAAATTCTGTTTTGCAGTGCTGAAAATTGAAATCAGGGCCTTGTACTTGCTAGGAAGACATGTGCTATTCCGCAGCTCTTTAATTCTGGTATTTCATTGAAAGGATAGCATTTATGAAGCTTATGATATCTGGAGATGACATTTATGCTGGCATAAATTATAATTTATGTTGGTACACACATATGTAAGGTCATTATCCTGAGCCCTAACAAAAGTATATGTGTGTTTCAAATGCACCTTAGGCTCTGAGTAAGAGTTATAACTCTAGTTTCAAACCTAATTCTTTTTAGGGGTGTGGAGGAATGTATTTTTGGGTTGAAATCCTTCTGTCTACCATGCCGCTTAAGCTGGTCTGTGGGCTGTTATAGGCTAAACAGAGTCTGTGGGCAAATGCCTTAGCTGGGTCTCCAAGGGCAGGGCCATCTGTGGTAGGGAGATAACCTGGGTCTTAAAGGATTGGAACAAGTGGCTGAGAACCAGTGTGACCTCGGTGTGGGGTCTGACTGCAGGGACTTTAGAGAAGTGTGCTAATAAAGACAGCAGAGGTGAATGAAGTAGTTCGAGGATAGGCCACTTACCTGCATTCAGAAGACTCTGGAGCGTTGGTCTTACATTTTAAGTGATGTGAGTTCCTTCAGGCACCGAACATGGAAGTATTCACTAAGCATAGAAAGCCAAGTGTGTTGTATGTTAACACGGTCACTCCGATGGTTATTTAGATGAATGTCATATTTCTGAGATTTTTTTCTACCTTCTAAAATATAGCTTTCCACTTCCTGGAATGTGGATGTCAGCCATGTTGAATCATGAGAACAGATGCAATGTGCTAGGGATAATGGAACAAGGAGATGGAACGTTGACCCCATGACATCTGTGTTAGTTACTTTTCTTAGTGCTGTGATAAAAATACCTGACAAGAGCAACACAAGGAAGGAAGGGTTTACTGTGGCTCACAGTTGAGGGCGTAGCCCAATGGGGAAGGGAATTCATGGTGATAGGATCATGTGACAGCGGTCACATTGCATCAACAGTCGGGAGGCAGGGTGGCAGTGGATGAGGCATATTGGAGCTTAGCTCACATTTTTCTTTATTGAAGTGCCCCAGCCCACAAGCAGGGTGGGTTGTCTTATCCCAATTAACCCAATATAGGAACTCTCATATAGACATGCCAGAGGCTGGTTTTTTTATGTGAGTCTAGAACCTGTCAATAGCCAACATTAACCATTACAACAGCTCTGCTCTATACCATCTGTCTTAGTCAGTGTTCTAGTGTTGTGAAGAGACACCATGAGCACAGCAGCTCTTATCAAAGGAAGCATTTAGCTGGACACTGGCTTACCGTCTCAGAGGTTTAGTCCATTACCATCATGGTGGGGAACACAGCAGCATGCAAAGCAGACACTGATGCTGTAGCTGAGAAGCGTATCCAGATCCGCAGACAGAGAGACACAGAGAGTGAGCAGAGAGACTCTGGGCCTGGCATGGGTCTTTGAACCAGTTACATAATCCTTCCAACAAGGCCATACTACCAAATCCTTTTGAATTGTGCCACTCCCTGGTGACAAATCTATGGGCCTATGAGGACTATTCTCATTCAAAGGAGCATTCTATCTTTGGACTGCTTACACTTGTTACTTCTGTTTCTTTTGTTTGCTTGTTTGTTTGTTTTCTTACCAAGACAGGGTTTCTCTGCCCTGGCTATGCTGGAACTCGCTTTTTAGACCAGGCTGGCCTGAACCTCTGTAGTTCAGCCTGCCTCTGCTTCCCAAGTGCTGGGACTAAAGGCATGCACCACCATGCCCAGTGCTGCTGCTTTTTTTTTTTTTTTCAATTGTTATTATTTTGGTTCTGGTTGTAGTATCCTAACACACATGGGAACACTCAAGCAAGTATCTACAGAAAACATACTCAGGTGCAATCAGGTTGTCAACAGGTTGGTAATATCCAGTGTCATTGGTATGTGTAGGAATCAGACCCCTTACATGATGTCCTTGGGGATGTAAAATATGAGATGGGGGAAGGGAGAGAAGTTGATTCCCATTGGCCCAAGAGCAAGCACCTGTGAAAGAAGTCACCCAGCCCTGATTCCGATGGCAACACATGAAAGACTTCCGTGAGAGCCACCTGGCTGAGAGCAGGTTCATGCGAGGATCGAGGGTTAAGGGGTAGTTCCTGGGCGGTTTGCTGTGCAGCAGTAGGCACAGATGGCCCAAGTGACAGTGGGGTAAGGACACACTGTAGAAAGGGGGATTTTGTTTTCGCGTGAATGTTTAATGGATTAGCAAGAATAGAAAGAATGCAACAGCATTCTACTTTGTACTTTAGATATTTATGTTAGAAGGGCTTCACCTTTCAAAGGATTGCCCCTACATTTGAATGTTCACCTTCCTCTGAGCAACTAATAGCAGCATTGCTCTTGTACATAAACTGCTGCATTGTGTTCACTAGTAATTCATCAACTGTACTGCTCACAGTAAAACTAAATCCCCTCAGATGAGAAGAGCCTTTCAGTAACGCAAACAACAGTAAATCCACAGCACTGGATGCTAGAGGCCCAAGCATTCCAAGTGAGGACTCTCTACTGGAACAAGCCTTATATTTATATTATTTGTGCTGATTTGCTCTGGGTTGTTTTTTTTTTTTTGGGGGGGGGGGTGTACTTGAAACAAGCTAGGGTCATCTGGGAAGAAAGAACCTCAAATGAGAAACTACCTCCATCATATTGACCTGTAGGCAAGTCTGTGGGGCATTTTCTTTTTTTTTTTTTTTTTATTTATAATAATTCTGAAACTTTATTTTCTTTTATATATATATATTTTTTTTATTTTATTTTTCTTTTTAGTTACATTTTGTTAACTCTGTGTCCCAGCTGTATCCCGCTCCCTCAATCCCTCCCCAACCCCACACTCCCTCCCTGGTCTCCTCCCTGCCCCTTTCCAAATCCACTGATAGGGGAGGACCTCCTCCCCTTTCATCTGACCCTGTTTTATCAGGTATCTTCAGGGCTGGCTGCAAAGTCCTCCTTCTGTGGCCTAACAGGACTGCTCCTCCCCTGGGGGGGGGGGGTCAAACAGCCTGCCCTTGAGATCCTGTTAGAAATAGTCCGTGTTCCCCTTACTTTGGAAAACTACTTGGTTACTGAGCTACCACGGGCCACATCCGAGCAGAAGTTCTAGGTTATATCCATAGATGGTCCTTGGTTGAGCTGTGTGAGGGCGCAGCCCACTGTGGGTGGTCTCACTCCTGAGCAGGTGAAGCTGGGTTGTATGAGAAGGGTAGGTAAGCACGCCATGGGAAGCAAGCCAGTGAGCAGCACGCCACAGTCTTTGCCTCAGTTCCTTCTCCAGGTTTCTGCCTTAAGCTCCTGCCCTAGATTCTCTCAACGATGAGGGTCATGCAAATAAACTTGTTCTTCCCCCAAGTTGTTTTGCTCTTGGAGTTTTATTACAGCAATAGAGAGCTAAAGTAGGACCCCAACAACAGTCAGATCCGTGGAGCTGAACGCTAGAGGCCCAAGGACTGCAAGTGCTGGGCACCCACCCACACCCCCCCCCCTTGTATTTGTTCACATTATTAAAATGACATTAATAGAAATGAAAGCTAGTTTATTTTTAAAAAAGAGCTCAAGAATGAGGTCATTAAGATTTTAAATATAATACCTAAGTACATTTTGGATATAAATGCCATGTGTTTCATGATAAGTGTCAGGCAAATAGCCAAACTGTCTGTCCAGAATTCTGGTCTCAGAGAAAAGACCAGAGATAATTACAAAGAAGATGCTTCATAGCAAGTCCATTTTAAAAACAACTCTGATCCTTTGAGAAAAATCACTTCGGTCTCTTTATCAGATTTTTCTATTGACTTTTTACTTATAAACTATCTGTTGTCTGTACCGTTGTAGTATAGATTGTGTTTGTTTTTTTTTTTTTTCTAAATACTTTTATTCTTATTTTATGTTGTATGAGTGTTTTGCCTCCCTGTTTGCCACATGCATACAGTGCCCCTGAAAGCCAGAGGAGGGCGTCAGAGCCCCTGGAGCTGGAATTATAGACAGTGATAAGCCCCCATATAGGTGTTTGGAATTTAATTCAGGTCTTCTGGAATAGCAGCCAGTGATCTTAACCACTAGTCCCGCGTTTACTCTATCATTGGATTGTAGGAGAGCTCCTCCAGGCCATACAAGACTGACAGAAAGGGAAAGCAGAGGGTGCATATATGGCTCCTGGAAACTGTTTGCTTGCTTGCCTGCTTGCTTGCTTGTTTGTGAGACAGGGTCTTTTTAGTAGCCTTGACTAGTCTTGAACTTGGAGTAATCTTCCTACTCCAGCCTTCTGATGCTGGGATTACAGACAGTTGCCTCTGTGCCTGGATTTTCAGGAATGTTTTTAAAGATCCAGAATGAGGATACAAGAAATGCAGACCGCTTTACTGGGCTTGAGCTTCTTGAAGTTGAGGCCAGAATGGTGAGCACTAAGGCCACTGCAAGAGAGCCAGGCAGAATGAGGAGTGCTGCACGCTGGCTTGCAGCTCTGAACAGCACTGGGCTGGAGCAGGGTCCACAATACCATAGCCACGGCTGAGGGCTGACACTGCCCCAGCCCCTCAGCCTTCAACCTCCTTAGCTGAAAGTGTATTTTCATTTTCCAGCTTAACATAGAACAGATTTAGTGGCTACAGTAAGGAACTTCAGCGGCATCTTAACTGCTAGCCACCTCTCCCTTAAATGTTGGTATAATATACTCTCTTCTTTCTAAAATATGATTTTCAGAGACTCCAGACAGAGTGGGATTGTAACAAAGGTGTTTCAGGTGGACTATGAACCACCGAAGATGGAGTCTTCTGAAGACAGTGTTGAAGATTCTCTCAAGGGGTTTTCAAAGCAGGCGAGTAATGAAACGGAAGACTTTCAGATTGTTGCTTTATGTTTCATGCCTTCTTGCTCAGTGGGCACATCTTCCCTTTCACCACACCACTTCTCCTCTCAGTCAGTCAGGAACAGCCATTGTGAAGAATCTGTATGATTTCCCAGACTTGGTCAAGCCTCTTGTCTAAGACCGGAACTCTGACTCAGCATTGTCACTGCCTGTGTTCAGGTACCTGCAGTGACTCTACCTGTGATCGAGGCCATTAGCCTGCCATCCAGAGAATCTGGGCTTTGTCTGCGAACTCTGCATAATGCCAGATAAATAAGCTATGTGCATCTTCCCTATCCCTGCACCAGGCCTTCTCTGGGGAAAATCAATCTGAGCATGTGATTTCTTGGTTTCTTCTCAGCTTTTCCCATTTGCATGCTCCAAGACAGCAGTTATCAGAGCTACCATACTTTAGAATAGCTTGAGGACAGGTAAAAAAAGCAATGGGTATATATTTGGGAAATGAAATAGTCAAGCTAGTAGACCATTGTGGTGTGTTTTTATCTGACCCCACACTATTTTTCCCTCTGACTCTGGTAGTCTTATGATATTACTGTCTCTGATAATGGCACTATCCATGTGCTATAACCTGTGTCTTGTCTTGTCTGCTTGACCTGGTGAGGCCTACCAGCCAGACATGCTGCTCACCAAGTAGCCCAGACACAAAGCTGTGGGTTTCTAAAGGAAACACACATCACTTTATAAAAACCACTATAATCACTTTCAATTAAGAAGTGTTAGCCATGACATTGTCTCTACCATGACTTCTGATTTCCATACTCTAAATGTGTATAATCAAGTGATGCATAATCTCTTCATTCCTAGGAATTAAAGAATGGGTTTGTTGGACCCAAATTAAGGAAGAAGTATAAGAATGCCGAAAATAAATCAACTTGGAACGTTAACCTTAGACGGCTTGCAGGTGGGATAGAAGGAAGTCCACTGAGCAGGCTCTTTGCATGCTCACTCCATGTTTCCTGTGTCCTTGTGTTGAAATAAGAAACCCAGGAAGGCATGCTATCATTTCAATTTTCATTTTTCTAGCCAGCAGATTAAGGCCATGAGAGATAAGCAAGCAGTTTGGTAAATTTGGTTTATTGAATAATTGTATTGAAGGGACCATGGAGTGCCTGACCTAAGACAGAAAGGAGTCACCGAGTTTGGGGAATGGGTGGTGTTTGGGTAAAATGTAGACAGGACTTTGATAGAGTCGGGCAAAACTGAGCAGCATAGGAAGGATTGCGTTAGATACAGATGCGGGTCTGGTTACTCTGGAAACCACAAAGGTGCATTTAGAATGTGTTCAGGACATGCTTAAAAAAATGAGCCTGTTTTCTTATGTCTTAGGGGGGGGTCAGTAAAATAGCCTATCGGGTAAAGCATGTGCCCTGCTAACATGATGGCTTGAGTCTGCAATGAGACAACCATACTCCCAAAATTTGTCCTTTGTGGCATACATGCACCCCACACACAAATGACAATAATAATAGTGTTGGGCTTTTTGTTTATTTGCTTTCTAAAACAAAAGAAAATAAAAAACAAAGTGACTAGGTTCTTCTAAGAAAAGTTGAGGTCTTATATGAAATCGGACAGCAAAGGTTCTGGAATCCTCAGTCAGTAAGCAATAGCCATGTAAAGAAGAGGCTGCCACAGGTTTCCTTCTTTCTAACAGGGAAGGTCATTTTTTCAGACTGGGTTAATTATTTCTTTCTCAGTTCTAGCTCACTGACTTGGGAGGGTGACTTTATGATAGGTGCTGCTAGAAAGAATGTGGCGTGTAGTCCTTCCTGGAAGTTTCAGGCTATGTGGACATATTTGCATGGTGTTATATGGTAATGATAATCACAAAACAATATTCTTAATATAATTATAGACCTCAAGGTAGGCGAAAGAGCAGACGCTAAAACTCTGAAAGATCTTCGCTTCTCAGAGAGGCCACTGGAAGTCCCAGCCTACCACGAGGGAGCCGCTTCTAGACTGCCTACTCACCAGTCCCAGGTAATGTCAGTGGAAATTCTTTAGAGCAGCCAAAATGCCTCAGGCATTTCAGTGCTTCCCAGCTGCTTTCAGACAGCATCTCTCAACCTTTAGCCGGGTTGCAGGCGGTGTCCCAGCTCTGGAAATACTGTGTCCAAAGGGGAAAACCTCCATATTCATAGAGCTGTCCTTTCTAGCGACTTGAGGCAGGTAAATAATAATCAAGTAAAAAATCACTCTTTGTTGTTGTTGTTGTTGTTGAGACAGTATCTCTCTGTGTAGCCCTAGCTGTCCTGGTACTTGGTCTGCCGACCAAGCTAGCCTCACACTCAGATTCACCAGTCTCTGCCTCCTAAATGCTAGGATTAAAGGCATGCACCACCTCCCAGCTACACACAAAAACATTTAATCAGTGGTCATGCATAAGATAAACTAGGCGATGAGGTAGCACAGTGGTCCCACACCTGCAATATCATAGTCACATAAAGTCCATTTGGAATACACATTCTCAGGCTTCAGGCCAGCCCCAAAACAGAGACTGTAGCTTTGGGGCCAAGTGTCTGCATTTTACTCAGCCATCCTTCTGGACTAACATTAACTTCAGGGTCAAGCCGCAAAGTAGATGATAAATGATCAATGACAGCCAGCTTTAGGGTAAGATTACCAAGTTTGTAGGTTCTGTGATGGTATAGAATGCCAGAGCCACCCAGAACGGTCATTCTCATCTGCAGCCACTGACAAGGACTTCCAGTTCAGTACTGGCACCTTATGAATTTTCACAAGCAATTAGAAACCTACATCTTCATCTCGCTAACCTAGTTTAAGATCTGAGACTTAATCTAGAAGCTGAGCCAGTATGGGAAGCACGACATAAGCTATACAGGCCAAATGAAATTCAGGGGCTCACAATAGTTAGCCAATAAATCACCAGTTTATGACTTCTGGCACAGGCCATGTGTGATGTAATACAAAAACATTAAACAAACAGCAACAACAAACCCCCAAAACAATAACAAAATCACAGGATGCTCCTCATTGTCTATAGACGTAAGCTGAAATCCCAAGCTTTAGTGCCCACACTGCTGATGTGAACTTACGGCTTTATGAGCTGCAGCATCATTCTCAAGCATGAGTATTGTAACCCCTCACATGGTACCTTGACAGCACCCTTCCTCTGGAATGTGTACAAAAATCCATGCCTCCGTCCAGGCACAGGAATATTAGACAAAACCAGATTTCATGTTCATGCCTTTTGCTAGGAATTGCTATGAGTTAACTGTCAGGTTCTTTTGTTTTTTTAAACAGAATCTCATGATATAGTCCTGGCTGGTCTGAAACTATGTAGACCTGGCTGATGGTTAAATTAAATTAAAATATAATTACATCACTTCCCTGCTTCCACCCCCTCTCATGTAATATTCCCTCTCCCCAACACTCCAAACCATGTCCTATTCCTCAACTGTTTTATATATTGAGGAATCAAGGTGATAGATTCTGCCTCTTGAATGCTGGGATTGCAGGCATTTATACCTGGCCGACTTACTGCTCCTTAAACTCTTTTCAAGGCAATAAGAATGAAGAAGCTGGGCAGTGGTGGCACACCCTGTAATCCCAGTACTCGGGAGACAGAAGCAGGCACATCTCTGTGAGTTCAAAGCCAGGCTGGTCTACAAAGAGAGTGCTGGCACAGCCAGGCCTACGCAGAGAAGCCCTGTCCTGAAAAAAAGATGAAGAAAGAAAACACTTCAGATTACATGTGACAAAGTGGACGTAACAATTAACTGCAGACTATGATATTAGAGCAGATCCCAGACCAAGAAAAAACATGTAGCCATAAAGGATACCATTGGCACAACTGGTGGTATCTAAATGTAGATTTGTGGATTAGATGACAGCATCACTCTTAATTGTTCTGACTTTGATGTGTGGTTGTTCTTGGGAAATGCATACTCAGCTACTTAGGGACAAAGGGATACCATGCCTTCAGCTTATTCTCATGTGACTCAAAGAGAATAAAGGAATATGTAGGAAATGTTGGCATAAACAATTGTTTAACCTAGGGGAACAGGAGTTATTTTTGCTATTTTGATAACTTTCTTGAAAGTTTGCCATATCACAATAAGATGTTACATGCTCAATGTGGTGGTTCTCTTCCTTAATCCCTGGTTTCAGGAGACTGAGGCAGGAGAAAAACACGGCCAATCTTGTCTACATAGCAAGACCCTGTCTCAAAATAATATTACAAAGCTACAATGGAATGGGCATAGCATGGCCCAACTCATAGGGTTACTATGAGTGCCAGGGAGAGAACGGTACAGCATGCCAGTGCGTTTACTCTCAGTAGAGTATGGCTAGCTTCTCACCTTCATCCTTCTTTTTCAGACATCCTTTCTGTCCCATTCTGTAGACCACATCACGCCATGTGCATCCCAGCACGGGCCATGCGTTGCCCTGCCATGGTGCCTGTGTGTTTCCTTACTGTGGATTCCTTTTGTCTTTTGTCTCCTTAACGCACTTTCCTCTACTTTCCTGTGTCCATCTTGGTTGTTACCACTTCCAAGAAGCGCTTCTCCCACGAAACCTGCAAATGTGAATATTCTCTCTTCTAGTTCCCATGGAACACAGCACAAGTCTGTTATCTTGCTGGGTGCATAGATATGAGGGGTGTGCTGTAGGGACAGGGGCCATGTTATATATATATATATATATATATATATATATATATATATATATATAT